TAAGAGGGGATTGTCTATTCTGTCTGAAGGTAGCTGTCCTGCATTTTGCCCCAGAATTTTTTTCCCAGATCTACCTTCTATAGAATAGAAGGTAGATCTATTCATAGATCTCTGTTATAGAAAATGCAATATTCTAAATTATTTCCAAATAATTTGGCAGTACTAAAAATCTAAAGGAGTTTAACCTAAAGGATTTTTTGCCCTAGCCAATTAAATAGTTTTGTACTCTGTGGCCGCATACGTAATATATTGTTGGATTGATTAGTGGTCACTTTATGACAGTGGTTCTCAACCTTCCTAATGCGGTGACCCTTTAATACAGTTCCTCATGTTGTGGTGACCCCCAACCATAAAATTATTTTTGTTGCTACTTCATAACTGTAATTTTGCTACTGTTATGAATAGTAATGTAAATATCTGATATGCAGGGTGTATTTTTATCGTTACGAATTGAACATAATTAAAGCATAGTGATTAATCACAAAAACAATATAGCAGTGCTCGCTGGAAAAGCTTACTCTTCCTTGCTCAAAAATGTTGGGAGGGAGGGAAGGGGAAGGAAAGAAGGAAGGAAGATTGAAGGGGAAAGGAAGGAGGTAGAGAAGGAAGGAGATTGAAGGGGAAAGGAAGGAAGGAGAAAGAGATTGAAGTGGAAGGGATGGAGAAGGAAGGAAGGAAGGAAGATTGAAGGGGAAAGGAAGGAGATGGAGAAGGAAAGAGATGGAAGGAAGGAAGAAGATTGAAGGGGAAAGGAAGGAAGGAAGATTGAAGGGGAAAGGAAGGAGATGGAGAAGGAAGGAGATTGAAGGGGAAGGAAGGAAGGAAGGAAGGAGAGAGAGATTGAAGGGGAAGGGATGGAGATGGAGATCGAAGGAGGGAGAGAGATTGAAGGGGAAGGGATGGAGATGGAGATCGAAGGAGGGAGAGAGATTGAAGGGGAAAGGATGGAGATGGAGATGGAAGGAAGGAAGGAAGATTGAAGGGGAAAGGAAGAAGATGGAGAAGGAAGGAGATTGAAGGGGGAAGGAAGGAAGGAAGGAAGGAAGATAGAAGGGGAAAGGAAGAAGATGGAGAAGGAAGGAGATTGAAGGGGGAAGGAAGGAAGGAAGGAAGGAAGGAAGGAAGATAGAAGGGGAAAGGAAGAAGATGGAGAAGGAAGGAGATTGAAGGGGGAAGGAAGGAAGGAAGGAAGGAGAGAGATTGAAGGGGAAGGGATGGAGAAGAAAGGAAGGAAGATTGAAGGGGAAAGGAAGGAAGGAAGGAAGGAAGGAAGGAAGGAAGGAAGGAAGGAACGAGAAAGAGATTGAAGGGAAAGGGATGGAGATGGAAGGAAGGAAGGAAGATTGAAGGGGAAAGGAAGGAGATGGAGAAGGAAGGAGATTGAACAAGGAAGGAAGGAAGGAAGGAAGGAAGGAAGGAAGGAAGGAAGGAAGGAAGGAAGGAAGGAGAGGTTGAAGGGGAAGGGATGGAGATGGAAGGAAGGAAGGAAGATTGAAGGGGAAAGGAAGAAGATGGAGAAGGAAGGAGATTGAAGGGGAAGGAAGGAAGGAAGGAAAGAGAGATTGAAGGGGAAGGGATGGAGAAGGAAGGAAAGAAGATTGAAGGGGAAAGGAAGGAAATGGAGAAGGAAGGAGATTGAAGGGGGAAGGAAGGGAGGAAGGAAGGAAGGAGAGAGAGATTGAAGGGGAAGGGATGGAGATGGAGATGGAAGGAAGGAAGATTGAAGGGGAAAGGAAGGAGATGGAGAAGGAAGGAGATTGAAAAGGGAAGGAAGGAAGGAAGGAAGGAAGGAAGGAAGGAAGGAGAGATTGAAGGGGAAGGTAAGGAGATGGATGGAAGGAAGGAAGGATTGATCTTTGGAGAGTCATGTTTTTCCAGATGGTGATGAATTGCAACTCCCAGCATTCCCCACTCTTCCACAGTGCTTTTTAGGGCTGCTGGGGATGGTAGTCCAGTAAGATCAGGAGACACCCATAGATGCCCTCCGACGGCAAGGGAGGCGGGCCGGGCGGCGCAGGGGAGGCTCCGGCATGGCCCGGAGGGCGGCTGGGGGTGGAGGGCGGCCGGGCAACCAGGAGAATGGGGACCGGCTCGGTGCCACAGCTCAGCTCAGCCAGCAGCAGCAGCAGCAGCGTGTTGCTAGAGCAGTGCGGGAAGAGAGGGGGTAGTGGTGGCAAGTCATGAAGCAGGGTCCACACATTCAGGATGCAAACGCTTGGATAGTTTGGCTCCCCCACCCCTTTATTTACTGATCTGCCACAAGCTCGTGCAAACAAGCCCCGAGGAGTTCTGAACGAGTGGTCGTTTAAAAAAAAAAGCTTTAAGCAACAAGGCAGAAAGGGGAACTCGCTCATGGCTCTTTATTTCCCCTTTCTCAGTGACTGGGAAGGCAGCAACAAAGGGAGGCAGAGAGGGGCGAGGGGGAAAACCTCACTCAACTTTCACCCTTATCAGACCTGGTTCCGTTCTGGTCGACCCCCACCCACCCACCCACCCATCTCCTTCACCTCCTGCTACAGATCGACGCTACCCCTTAGGAGTATTTCGCCAGGCTTTTTTTTTTACCTTGGCCCTGCGCTTCTCCCAGATGGAAGCCAGGCAAGAGGACCTGAAAGACGCCGAGCAGGAGGTTCATAGCCATGGCGACGTGGCAGTAGCTCCCCTGCGATGGGTAGAGCAGCCCCGCCATGCTGCTGAGGCAGCTGCTTTGCTGTCTGCCCAAGCTGGTTGGTGGAGCTAGCCTTGAGCAGAAATTCTCACTAGTGTTTCGGTTCCTAAGACCATTGGAAATATGTGTTTTCTGATGGTCTTAGGCGACCCCTGTGAAAGTGTCATTCGACCCCCAAAAGGGTCGTGACCCACAGGTTGAGAACCAATGCTTTATGACATTCTGCCATAATGTTAAACCAGAATATTTAACCACTGTCGGTGAAATAAATTATAAAATGGCTTGTTTCCCTCTTTTTAACTAAATTACAATCTGTCTTTACTGTGTCAAAAGCTGAATGGGTAAAATAATTGGAAACAATATGTGGGTTTGTGTTTGAACTGTTGTGTGAAGAAATATCTGGAACAGAAGATAGCAAGAAATTTAATGCTAAGCTTTCCTGCAAACTCAAATACCGATAACAGTAGTTAAAATGTCTCTTATATATAAAGTAAGAAAAAAATATTTTTGGGAAATTAGAAACATTTTCCAATGTTTTTTCTTCGCCCCATGAAATTAGCGCAGGAGGTTTTGACTGAATTAAATTCAGTTCTTTGGTCATAAAAAATAGAAACCCATATGAGGCCATGTAGAATAGAATACATATTGCTTTTAAGGTCTGTGTTTTGTCTAATGTATCATCTTAATCACTGTTTTCTATCAAGAAAACCATCACTGACATTTAATTGTTTTTTCTTTCATGTGTTCTTAGGATTGTGAGTGAAGTGATCAGAAGATCTATGTCTGTGTAAATTGAAAACATTTGGACATGAGTCCCAGTTATGTCTTTCATGAATAGTTACAGAACACATATCTGATTTCCAGATTATGAGCCACTCCACTCTTTCTGCTTTTAACAAGTCTTCCTGACCCAGAGAGGGAACTTTTAATGATTGTTAAGCTACATTATTTTCAGAGAACATCTGCACATAAAGACTTAGTATTAAAAAGAATCATGTAAATTTCTGCAGTGTCAGGGTAAATGTTCTAGAAAAAATCAAATTGTCTTATTAGTCAATCACATAGATTTACTTTTCTGATTATTTTAATATATATTTTCTTTTAATATATTTTATTTATTTTAATATATATATAATCAGCCCAACCTGGGCTGGAATTTAGCTTGCAAATAGGACTAGAAAAGTTCATTGAAATTAATAGCACCTGCAGGGGTATGTGAATGGGTGATTGAGGGCCAAAGGAACAATATATTTTATATTTTATAATTAACAATATATTTTATAATTAAAAATGTTTAAAACATATCTTGGAAAAATACAGCTAGCTCAATGTTTCTGAAATTCAGCAACTTTAAGGTCTGTGGACTTATTCCCCAGATGGGAGTCCACAGATTGTAAAGTTGCTGAGACTGGAAAACCCTGAGCTAAATGACAGCTTTGCTGATTTCAAAATGCAAAGTAAAGTCAAAACTGGTTAGTATCTGTATGGAAATCTACCGAGAAGTTTCAGCCCAGCCCAGGAAGCCCAGAAAACTTCCTGGAGGAAGGCAATGGCAAGCCATTTCATAAGATTGCCAAGAAAATGCCATACCCATGAAGTTTCTCTTTTATGCAAGAAATAGGAAGCTCCCACGCCCTTTTCACGACTAGTTATTGAGGAAAAAAGGTAATTTTATGAGAAGATATTTTTTTAAGATTAAGGATAAAATAATTGAGGGAGAGTGAAAGCAGATATGGGCAAAACATTACCAACCCATTTTCAGTTGCCAGAGAATGTCAAGAATGTGTACCTGAATGGTAGAAAATGGAGGAAAATAGGTGTATTATGCTTTAAATGTGCTCTGTGTTCCACCAAACTCCTTCCAAATGCCCCCAAAATGGAGACAGGTGAGAAAGTCCAGCATCAGCTCTTCCAGTGATACCGTTATGCTTAAATTTGGGTTCCGAATCTAGGCCCCCCCATAGAAGACTCCTGATGCTGGATAAAGTAGTGATTTTCTAATCACCAGCAGTTCTACTACAAAACATGATTTGTACGGTTGACCAGAATCGAAAGGAGGAAGGACGATGGACAAACGTTTTTTCCTCCTGTTTACTTCAGCAGGAACAGCTCTACTCAATATCTCTTTACTCTGGTGGAACTGAAATAGGGGGTCCAAGAGACTCTGTGAAATTTGTATTTGCCATGATAGCATGTAGAGGTAACTTGAACTTCTTTTTGAAATAATCAGGTTTTTTCCTTCACTGTGGCTGTTTAATGACTCCAGCATTATTTTAACTTGGGAAGACGAGGAGGTTATTCATCTCAAGCCTATTCTTTCTTTTTTTTTTAGGTTATGCATTGCTTCCTCACTGAAGCTGCATGACAATTCTGTAAGGTAAGCAAGCATTTTGTGATATTCAAGTCAGTCAAGGAGACTCAAAACTGCTGTTTCCCAGTTCAGCACTGGGTTTTGCTTTATATATTGTTACAGCTTTTGCCTTTGCAGGAATGTTTGAATGCAACTTTATACTGAATCATCTGTATCAATAATAGTCACCTATATTATTTGAATGGCCATCTATATATAGACCAAACAGTACCTTCCATATACAGTTTCTGTTTGTACCTAAGTGATGAATTCTAATGAAAAAGTCATTTCCTTGGAGTCACCAAACTGCATGAAGCCAGTAAGACTGAAGAATGCTCACACAGTTATTGTCAAATGAAATATAGGTAGTCCTCAACTTATGTCCACAATTGAGCCCAAATTTTATGTTGCTAAGTGAGAAATTTGTTAAGTGAGTTTTGCCCATTTTACAATTTTTCTTGCTACAGGTCTTAAGTGAATTAAATTAGTTAAATTAGTAACACTGCTGTTAAGTGAATTTGACTTCCCCATTGACTTTGCTTGCCAGAAGATCACAAAAGGAGATCACATTATCCTGGGACACTATCATAAATGTGAGTCAGTTGCCAAGCATCTGAATTTTGATCAGGTGACCATGGGGATGTTGCAATGGTCCTGTGAAAAATAGTCATAACTCACTTTTTCAGTGTCGTTGTGACTTTGAACAGTCACTAAATGAACTGTTGTTAAGTCAAGGACTATCTTTACAGTGCATTTACATGCCTTTGTCCATTTTGTAATTATCTACATATTTTTAAAGTATTTTTCATTAAATTGAATAAGAATGGAGTGAGAAAAACATTTTCTGTTGAACATTACATGTAACAAAATTCTATAAACCTGTAAGCTGCCTCTCATAAAAAAAAAGATGACAGAAGAAAAACGTCATATAACTCTATAATCATATTTTTAGAAAATTGTAAATTTAAAAGCTGAATTATATTCCCTTTCAGAAAAATGCAATGTTTTAAAAATAGATGTTACATTTAGTAATATCACAAGGTAAAAAAATGCTCGGTATGCTTTGGTTTTCTTTCATCCTGGGGAGAATAAGACCTCCTTGCTACTCCAGGTGTATGCAATACCATCCCTTGACACTTCAGAATCGCATTGCATATCCATATAGACCTTAACATCAGGAAACACGAGCTGCAGGATCAGTTAATCGCCCAGTGAAAAACAGACTGCTCCTCAAAAGGGATAAAGTAAATCACAACCTCAAGTCAGTCAGCATTGAAAAAAAATTCTTGAAGGCTTTGGTATGTTGCTGAGATAACAATTTTTCATAAGTCAATGTCAACTGGCTTCTTTTCCATTGATCTGTCTAAGGTGCTGAAGGTCCCTGTTGTCTTGTGCCCTGCACCACCATGACATTGCATGCTCCATAATCAGACCAATTCTATACAATATGTTTGTTTTTCAGTGTCAGATCACTTTCCAATGTTCTTTTATATTATGAAAGCTTTATCTGGCTTTTTATATGGTAAACAGAAAAAGTATCAATAACATTTCAGTGAAAATATTTATTTATTTAAAAGTCTTACATGGCTGGCCATAGTGTAGACATGATTCTAGGTGGCTCACATAATGATAAAGCCAAAGACATTAAAACCGCACACTTGAATCTCCATTCCATCAAGCTGAACATTCCTTGGGCTCCAACTTCACCCTATCTCAATGCCTAGGGGGAAAGCCAACCTTTTATCGATTCTGGAAGGCTAAAGGGTGAGAACCTGGCAGATCCTATGGAATCTATATATAAAGGGAATATATACAGAAAGTTTTTTCTGGACAGACCAGTCTGATTAATGCACCTTGCATTATTAATTAATATTTTGACTGCTATACTGCAGTTCTACTTATAATCACTTTTGCCTTGCAAAAAAGAAAAAGAAATAAATTTGGATTTGTAATGTTGCTGTCCAGAAAGCTACCATGTAGCTTACAGTCTTCCATAATATCTGAGATATGAGTGTGAGACACAAGAAGATGAATGAAAATATTCAGCTTTACAAGACCTAGTTTGTCATAAAAAGATACAAAAAAGCAGGAAATGTGGAGGAGGGGAAAGCAGTAGCAAAACAATCACAAACAGATGTGAAGCCATTCTTTATATTTTTATATGTTATATTGCATATGTCACATTACAAGCTCCTTTGTATTAAGTCCTTCATATTTTTGGATACACTAAAGTCAAGAAATAGAAAAGTTGATGATATTTTAAATCATACATAATATTAAAGTCACAAATTGAAAATCTAAACTTTAAAACCATGAGCAATTTTATTAGTGATTACAAAAAAAAGCACAAAAATATAGGTACAGTTTCTATTTACTTCTAGATATTACATTTTCCATTAATGATATTTTATATAGGACTTTTATTGTCTAATTTGGTAAAAAAAATACTAGAGGAATTAATTACTTAGTTGTACTAATTATGTATTTTTCTTTTGTTTGCATTAGGAATGCTAATAGATGCTTGATTTTATTTAATAATCTTACAAAGGATAGTACTTAAAGTGAGGGGTTTGTTATGCAACACCTCTACTTAATTCATGCAACACCTCTACTTAATTTTTGGGGCAGCAAAATGTCACAAGTTTCCATTTGTAATCATCTATTTTTTTCATTGCTGTTTTGTCTTTTTTTGCCTACATTTTTCCTGCACTTAAGAATAAACCTGGTTAAGTGGAAAAAGACAATATAGTTGAGGTGAAAGCTAGGGCTGCATAAATTGTTTCACAGAGCTAGTTTGAAAAGCATTAGATCTCTTTATCATTACCATAATGATATATTTTTCTTGGGTGCTGTTCCTTGTGGTCTCCACATGGGTGTACATGCAGAGCTACTTCACTGCAAAGGATATATCCAGACTTAATGAAAATTAATAGTTGAGTGTCTGAGTTCTGATTCCATAGCAGCATATTTTTTCAATCTCATTTCTGTGTATTCTTTTAGAAGACAGTCTTAAATATCATAAGCCTTTTTTTAGGACTAGATTAGAGGTCCCCAGTCCCTGGTCCATGGACTGGCACCAGTCCATGGCATGTCAGAAACCAGGCCGCGCAAATAAGCGATGCAGGCAACATGTGAAACCACGCCTCTTCTGGTCCAAGGAAAACTTTTTTCTTAAGAAACCAGTCCCTGGTGCCCAAAAGGTTGGGGACTGCTAGATTAGAATCCTATAATATGATGTTCCATATTTGCCATATTTGGCAGTTTGCCATTTCCCTTTGACAAATTCAATTCACCTTGATAAAAAACCATACCTTAAGAAAATTGAATTGGCTAGATCCCACTACTGTGATTTGATTAATCTAGAACTGTAATCTAAGAGAAATCTCACCACCAAGGCAAATATTTCTTCCATTGTTGGAGCTGCAGAGAAACCCACAGGAAAACAAATTAAAAGTTCAGAAAAGAGCTAGAATCATGTTTCACCTAGTATTAAAGAGTCTTCTCTTGTCATATGTTCTGCACCCCCCTGCCCACCAGCCAGTCATCATTCATCCTCTCTCTTTCTGGTTAAGTGTTCATTGGACATTAAACTAATCCCCATTCTTATGTACAAGATTACAGTCTCTCTAGTTCACAAGCTGGTGCTGTGAATTTCATGCTGAGTAACAACAGAATCAACAATGAGTAACAACAACGATAAGTAACAACAGAATAAAAAATGATTAGTTGAAAATGGTGCTCACACAGATATTTTGACAGGTAAAGAAGAGAGTAAATATTTTGGCCTGAAGATATGGCACGTTTATCATGTGAAACAGCTGGGGCCTTACATCTCCTGCTTTCTAGCATGGTGCCTTAACCACTAGACCAAACTGGCTTTGCTATTATGTAAGCAAGTGACATAACAAAGGCTGGATTGCCCTAATGATTGTGTACCTATTTTACAGATGTTATCTAGGCATCAGAAGGTGATTTCATTCTGGAAAAGCTGTAGGAATATTTTTTCTTAGGTTACAGATGTTTGTTAAAGGAATTGTCAGAATGTATATCCCTTGCTGCACAGTTTTCTAAACTACAATGTGCAAAAATGCCATCAGACTAGGATGGACTATGAAGGAACATGAAGCAGTGTAAAACAGAAAAGAGCACAGGAACAAAACATTTTACAACAGGCAAAGGAAACAGTTTATCTTAATGCAGTTTGCTGGGAACAGACTTCCACACGTTTACCTACTAAGCATAAAATTACATCCCAGTTACAGAAATGATTATGTAATTTCTGTGCTCAATTTTGAAACTGTCTTAAGAAAAAGCTTATCTTTCAAAGTTTGTCTTCCTAAAATAACTTATGTGGCATAGACCATTTTATTTTAATTCTGGAATTGAAAATGATAATTCTCCCCTAGAATTATCATACCTGGCTGTTTTTAATCATCAGTTCTATACATGTGTATTTACTCACAGTGGGTACATTTGCAAGCAAAGCAGGACACACAGGCTCTGAGATCGACTCTGCTTGTTCAGCAGATGGTTGACATAATATCTTGCAATATAGGCCTGCTGAGTCCTAAAGGCAAATGTGCCATAAGCCAGTTAATGCAAAGGCAATTTTCTGTGTTGAGCTTTGAAAAGCTCCTCATTTGTCTTCTGTCTGTGTACAGAGGCTGCCTAGCAGATTGTTTCCTTTAATCATACACTTTTTCTTGAAAGTGTTTTAACAGACTGAACAGGTGTGAACTTTCAGTCTTTTATCATAGAACAGAATAACACATTATGCCATCAATTACAACTACTGAGTAGTGCTGTGCATCTTCAAAAGACATTTCACATTACTAGGCTGTCTTACAAATCTACTTTCACCACATTTGCCACCCAAGATTACAAGGAAACTGGATGCGCTATATGGGTTTCCATGTAACGCTGCAGTAAATAGGAAGCTAATCATTTAGGCGAGGCGGATAGGAGTCAAGGAAAATCGAAATTTCATTTAAAGAGGACAGTGCTCTTGCTTCAGTTCAGAGCCATCCAAGCCTCTTATGTTTGCAATGGGGATAAGCTGAATTTTTCTTAAGCTGCATCTCACAGCTTTGTGTATGTGGATGAGGGAGAATTTTTCATTGATAGTAGTGGACCAGAAATGCTGTAAAAAGAAAAAGAGGTGTGTAATGATCCCACTAGGCTTAAGAATATAGGAAAACTCCTAGTAATATCTAAAAAAAATGCCAGAATGTTTATACCTGCTTTGCCCAGTTTGTTCAGCTAGGTGATAGCACTTGGCTGATCTTGAAAAACAGTAATAGAATGGCTTAATTGGTTACTGCTTGAGTGGAAAACTAGCAGAAAAGGTTATAGCAATATTGAAAAAGCATAAACTGGAGTAAGATATTGGCTAACAACTTCAGTATCAGAGTCACTAATTTCTGAAGCTCCTGCTTTGATGACTCTTGATTTTTCACATGCCTAATATCAATATTAAGGCAATATATTCATAGATCCAGTACACAGAAAATCTCAAATATTTCAAGAATAGTCATATAAAGGTATTTTCTCCAGATACTGAGGACACTGCTATTCACTCCCTTTGCTACAGCTGTGTAGCAGGTTGAGTTCAAATAACAAATTTCAGAGTTAGATTATTCTTCAGCCATAAAACTTGCTGAGCATTCATGGATCAATGTTTCTCCCTTAAATCACTTTACAAGCTTGTTAGGGAAAGTGCAAACTCCTTAAAGGAAAGTTGAAAGTAAAATATAATATATGAAATTTAGAACCTAGTCAATAGTGGGTTGCAAAATCTAACAGGATTACAAGAGGCAAACCAGGCAACCATGAGTTCCAGTCCCTGCCTTAGGCATAAAAACTGGCTGATGACTTTGGGCCAGTCACTCTTTCTCAGCCCAACCCATCTCACAGGGTTGTGGGGGAAATAAAAGGAGGAAGGAGTATTTGGAATATTAGCCACCTTGCGTGATTTATAAACAATAATAAAGGCAGGATAAAATCAAATAAATATATAAATAAAACATTTTATCCAATCAAAGACACCTATTGCCTAGACTCATAGCGAAATAGATTATTAGGCTTAGTTCCATGTAAGATTCACTCTTATTTTCAGGGAATGGTGGTAGGAGGTCATGTGTGTAAGAATGCATGTATACTTATGAACTTTATCTTTGGGATGATCAGAATTGCAAAATTGGTTGACATATAAAACTGTCTGAAAACTCCATCTCTCTCTTTCTCCCCCCCCCCCATTCAATTAAATGTGCAAAGACCGTTATTCATTAGTTGTGGAGATTTTTAAGACTGTATAAGCAGCAGATAATTAGATTTGATCATCATATTTGCGCTGTGGTGTTTAAGGAAGAAAATCCACTGCTTGCAAATTATTCTCTCAGGTTTATAGTCTTGTGTTTTCCTTTTGCAAAAAGAAGGCAGGCAAGTATCACAGCAATGGAAAATTAAAATAGTTCAATATAGATTTCCTTATACATCATTTCATCTAAAAATATTAAAGATAATTCATATTTTAGAAAAGCAATGTTGACTGGACTGTTACATGCATAGCAATAAAATTGGAATCCCGAAGATACTTCAATTAAGTACTTTATGTTAAATGTATTTAAAAATTTCAGCTGTCAGTGATCAAATGCACACTATTCTTGCCTGCATGTGAAGTACTACCTGATTATTTTTAAAAGTATGTTCTGAAGGTCCAACTACATGGTTCTCAAAACTTTGCAAAGTTCTTTAAACCATGCCATTTATCTCTTCATCACCACTCTTTGAAAGAGATTGTTGAAGATTAAGAAAAAGTTATATAGACTTGATTAAATTAGAAGGAGCACATTTTACAGCATTTAAGAGAATTAGAGAGTTGGGGAAGCTTCAGAGATATGTACATACATGCATTCCCTTTTAGAAATGCTCATACAGAAGATTTTCAACAAAAAGCTTAAAGGTTCCAAAGTCAGTTTTCAGCAAAAAAAAAAAAGGTAAATTTGGAGAATGTAGAGTTTGCTTGCTTTAACATACATCTGAAATATTCAAAGTATATAGATAATTGTGCCAAATTTTTAAGTTTACATATCTTAAATGGATACAAAAGAGCTATTTTAAGCCATATGGAATTTTTAGAACACTTCATTTTCTTCCTTCTTGTAAGCTTCTTTAAAGTTTGAAGATATAGTTTGGGTCGTTTTAGTTTGTATTTGTTAATGATAAAATATTTTTTTTCTAGATCAGGATTGAACTGTGGGGTACTTGGTGCTTGCTGAGCTTGGTGGTTTTCTTGCAGACATTTCATTACCAAACTAGATAACACTATCAGTGTTAGAGGACACTTCTACCTAGTTTGGTAATATTTGCAAGAAAACCACCAAACTCAGAGAACACCAAGGACCTGGCATATTTGGTAATATTTGTTTAATTAGGGGAAGGGGCTTCCAATAATTACTGTGTGGAACAATTTTAGTTACTCTAATTGCATAGAGATGATTTCCACATGGGCATTATATAACTTAAGTAATACCAAGTTATCTCCAGGAAACATAAAATTGCTATGCTCACAATCAGAAAACATCAGACTGCTATACTCACAGTCATAGAATATCCCAGAGAGAATATTTATCATAAAAATGGTTCCAATCTTGAGAAAGGTATAATATATAAAGTTGAAAATTATGGCATGAGCTTAAAAGGGTCATTTTTATTGCTCTAATCAATAAAGTAAAAGGGAGGAGGGACCACTAACAGCACCAACTGGAATTGCAAGCTGCCTAAACATATAGCATCAGCACTGACATATACATTTAATGAAGAACATTTTTTTTCTGTAATTTTTAGAGATTTTTTTTTACCTACACAACAAGCTAAAAAATAAATCAGAACTTTTTTTTTCTCTTACTCTAAAATCTATTTTACTGAGTGGGATCTTTGCTTCATAGGAAGTACATACATTCATTCTGAAGGTGTAACTTAATGGATTTTTTTGTGACCAGAAGAGTATTTTTTTTTTTTTAGGTGCCAAGGATCCCGCTATGTATAGCAATAACAACACCACAAAAGGAGAGACTGAACATTTCCACTCTTTTTTCATGGGTGAAATGTGAGTCTCAAGGTATTTAAAGGCAAAATATTTGCACTAAGTCTAGCAGAGACTGAAGATACCTACTGTTGCCCTTTATATAAAAACAAAAATTGTACTGTTGAAAATTGTCATTTTGAAAACATAATCCTGTCCTAGGGCTGCAAAAATGAAGGGAGGTCAGTCACAGTCCATGGGCTTGAAGTTCCCATTTCTGGGACATAAGGATTCAATTGTTTATTACAGTTTAAAACCATAAAGCTTGGTTGGAAGAATTGTATTGAAAAACAGCCTGTGCATAATCCCTGTAATTATTTTTCTGATTCCAGAGAGAGTCAGAGTGAGAGAGAATGATATGCCATAATTAGGCAATAATGTATACTTGTGGACAATTATTAGGTAGCACTGACATCACTAAATACTACATTATAGACATTAATTAAGAAGTTAGAGAAGTCTGTAGGAAATAGTACTTCACTTTCATTGTTATTTATGAATACATCAGAATTATCTCTGCCATCCATTTTTATTTCCATCAGCATATCAAGTAGTTCCAACGAGGTCCAAACTACTTGTCTGTATGCATTTCATTTTAAATTGTATTTATTTACCATGGAATTAAATAACTTATCTTTTCAGATATTGACTATCAAGCGATGATCAGCTGAAAAACTTAGGATAAGAAAAATCTGAGATTTCATGTTCCCTTCAAATCCATGTTTCCAAAGACTGCTGCAGCAAATTCCAAACCTATTTGGAGCAGTAACAAGGATGAACAGCATTGACCCTCCTCACATGAGCCAAGCAATGTCCTCTCAAGTATTGGAGAGTATCTCCCCCACAAGAAATCCCACCCACCCACCTTTACAAATTACATTGTGATCTTAAAAATAATTGTCACAGTTCCCTGAGGGCAGGGTCAGAATTCCATGTCTACCTACATCTACTCAATTCAAAATACCAACGTAACACCATTATAGAGATCAGGGGAACTTAAGGTACCTTTACCTTTTTTAAAAAGCACCATCATTTATTACGTTTTATGTAAATTTTAATAACACTCAATAACAATTATTCACACAGTTTTATTTTATTTAAATGTTATTTTATTCAGTATGTTATACCTATTCCCCATAATCAACATTCTTAAACATTGGAGCCATCATTGGTAATTAAAGCAATGGTTATTGAGTCTTTAGTTTCTCCATCATCCCTTTTATGACTACTTAAATTTCTACCCCAGTATTACAGTCATACTGTTAATATTCATTCTGAAATATCTGTAGTTTTAGTACTTTATGTAATGTCTAGCCATCTGTACTTAGTCATTTCAAACATTACAAATAGTTTTTATAATAATATATTTCAAACAGATTTATATAGTAATATTTATCATTGATTTTTAAAAACCTGTCTAGCTAGCTATCCATGCTTAGTGGTATTGGTACTTAATTTGCATATTGTTTGCCTATATTCTAGGAAGAATTCTTAATGGATCTGTGACCAAGATAAATTTTCAACATAATGTGATTATAGAAAAACCATACTATGGCTGATTATTAGAAAGAGATAACAATTCATTCTCTTCAAGTGTGAGGTCTTTCTTCTTTTCTATGTCTAGATCAAATTTTAAACTGCCAGAATGAAACCACCTTCCTGGCTTTGTCATTGACCCAAGATAAGTCATTATCAGTACATGTTTCTGGTAGTAGTCAACATATTAGCAGATAGTCCGGGCTCTGTGTCTCTCCACATTCACATAGTGTGTTGTTATCCACTAAGAGTCTCCACTTGAGCATATTGGTTTTACATTTAGGCAGTCCAACTCTCAACCTATTCATAGTCATCCAAGTAGTATAAGGAAGGACAGATCTTTCAGCCACATTCTTCTTTAACATTATTCCTTGCTCAATAGTCTCCATCTTTTAATTTGATTTCGTTCTTGTGTACCCTTAAGAATGTTTGTTCTTACCATAAAGCTGTTCCTAGATCTGAGTCAGCTTTATGAGGACTTTATAACACTCTAAAAAATTTATCTTCAAGCGTATTTCATTTCTTGTTCTCCATAAGTGTCAAGACATAAGGAATGGGCTAAAATCACATTTTCCTTTGTGAAATGTCTAAAGTGACTGTAGGGACTATGGTCAGAGATAATACCGAAGACATATTTTGTTGTGTGAGTTCTTTACCAGTATGAATTACTAATCTAAGAAAATGTAAATGAGAAAACGTTTGGTAATTAGTAATTTAACTTTGATGGATTACAATTGAATAATCACATTCCTGTGAAACTTTATCATAGCTGCAAATTATACTATGGCTTAAAATAAGAGTGGATTGGCAATACATGAAAATGTAATGGCTTTCAAGTATCAGGAGAAAACTATAGTCCACCTCTGCCATCTTGTGGCCAAGGTTGGAACAAGTCTTGCCATCAAGCAAAATTGAAGATAAACAGTTTAAAACATTCACACTGGGCATAACAATAAAACTACAAAATAACAGTAATAAAGTTTGCTTCTCTGCCTCTGAAAATTGCCAATCTCTTAATACCAGGTAATCACGATTGTTTTATGGTTCAGGATACTACTGTCCATTTTGATTAGATTAAGCCTTGATTTAAAATTAAGCTTTAATATTTAATATTGATTAATACCGTTGATATTTTAAAACATATTATTAAAGCAAAATTTAAAGTTTGATTTTCACTGTTATGGCAACTTGCTCTACATGGTTTATTTGAATTACTTTCTCTTCTTTCTCTCTTTTTTTACCCACTATAGAGAAGCTCTCTCAGGTAAAATGGCCAAGTGTTATTGCAAGTAATCACTTCAAACATTCCTGTCTTCACATCCTTTTTACGTCATGGGACCTGATGGCAGTTTCCTAAGTACTGGAGTGCTTCATATCATTGTATGGGGTAGCTTGGGAGCCATGGCAATGCTTCTGGTATTTAGTTTTCTCCTCTTTCTCTGCACTGGCTGTGACAGGTAAGGACTTAGCCCAAAAGAAAAAAATAGAAATATAATTATTTTGAAAAGCTTAGCCAATAAGTGAAGAGCAAGAAACAATCTGTTCTGAGTTTCATTCAGGGATATTGCAGTCTCTTTGAGTATTTGTAATGGATCACTGTATAAAATATATCCAAGGGAAATATTATATTGCGGTTCCTTAATGGGAGCATAAAATCTTGCTCATCAGGAAAAAGCAAACCCAGGAGCCTGGTAGCTTTTCCAACTAACAAATTTTAATTCAACCTCCCAGGACACTTCATAACACTGGGGTCCCCAATACAGGTCTGTGGATTGGTACCGGGCCACGGCATGCCAGAAACTGATCTGCACAAACAAGCAAAGCAAATCCATGGGATCCAGGCAGCACACAAAACCATGCACTCTCAGATCCACGGAAAAACCTTTCTCCACAGAACCGATCCCTGGTGCCCAAAAGGTTGGGAACCTCTGCCATAACAGACTTCAGAGTGGCCATCTTAGGAAAATAGGACTTTCACATCAACATCAAACAATCAATTGGTGAACATCAAATTTTATATCAAACGGTTTCAGAAACTTTCAGACAGTTTTAGCAAACTGATGGGTTTTTAATGTATAACAATTATTAATTATTAATGTATCGGTAATTTGTTTCACATTTAACGTCTGCATAACCAATCCATCTTCCCGTCCCTTCACTTTCCTCAGCCCCACACACATGCACTTTAAATCCTACATCATTTTAACTGCTCTGTGCACCTGATAAAGAGGTTGCAGGTCACAAAAGTTTAGGTGTTTTAATAAAAATGTCTTGGTCAGAATGTTGCTAAAGTGATGGATAATTTAAAACAAGTGTTTAGCATTTTTATTTGGCTATTATCTCTTCATAAAACCTGATCAAGAATTTCAAAAAAGTTTGGCAAAAATTGTGTAATCCATTTCCATCAAAAGGAAAACAAAGATACACCAAGGATCTCTTAGCAACACAGAGATTAATGTGTTCACTTTGACATGTGCTTTCTTAGAAGCTAATTAAATAAGTGTCTTACTTATAAAATTATATGAATACTAGTAATGTTTTCAGATTGTAGAACTTACTTTTGGTAGTAATCAAAAAGCTCAAGTTCAAAACATCAGCTATTCTGTGAATTATATATATCACCTATCTCTTCAGAACGAGAAAGTTCCCCATTGAACTATCTCATAGTAGAGGGAAATTAATAACATTCCCTATGAGATTTAAGAAATGAAGACTTTCTTGAAGTGGCCAAAAAATTCTGAATTGGCAACAAAAAAAGACTGATTTTTTTATTATTGTTCAACATCAGCCAAAAAAAAGGATAGAAAAGAGCATCAGCTTGAACTATATTATTTTCATGTGGAATATCTGAAAGAACAGCAATACAGAATTCAAAACTGAAATATAGTAATAAGCATATCAATACCAGTCAGAAGTCAGAATTAGTCATAACTTACATTATATAAATCTTATTTGTTGAAACTGATTGTGGATATTCCCAACAATATATCTAAGTTTGATTTGTATTACAGGGAGAAGAGTCCTGAGCAGCAAAATGGGGACCATGAAAATCTGATGAATGTGGTAATAAAAAGTCTAATAAAAATGTTTTTTCTATAATTTGTAATGAAGCAGAAAGACTGAACTGTGGAGCTGGAGTATTATTTAAGAGTTGTGTATGTATAAATGCTAAGAATGTATTTATGTAACCCTTATAAAACTGATAAATGATATTTGCCTCATTTTATAGATGAAAAAACTACAGACTACCTAGTCAAGCTGAGCACAGTTATTAGCATACTAGTACATGATTTTCTGATCAAAATGGTATATGTAATAAACAATATAAAAAAGAATTCTCATACATACTCTTGACAGAAAGAATTTTCACCATTTGAAAAGGTATCTTTAGAATTTCAACAGTATGTTTAGTATTTTTAATGCACTTTTGACATCATGATCTTTCCTTCTCTGTAACCATTTCAGCCTGAGGCATATCCTGCTGAATTAAGAGGACTGACCTTTATATCAGTTTTTTTTAAAGACCATGATAATATATATCGTTAAAACAAAATTTTAAATGATTCTTATTTTGATTTTAATACCTGATCAGCAGTATAATCTGTTACTGGGATGGGATGTGCAGCTATATAAATTGAATAAATAAATAATCAGGAACAGATACAAAACTATAATTTAAAAAAAACTTTTATTGATATAAGAACTTACATATCCACATAAACTTACAGAAACTAAAATCTTAAGACATATATTTTTATAAGCGTCTTTTTTAAAATGTAGTAAAGAATATTGTATCTTTGACAAAGAAAAGTCTTTATTATAGGAACCTTTTCTGAGTTCATTAACATGTTAGCAATAGACTTATCTACACATGCTCTTTTTCCCCCTTGTACATTGAAGAGTTTCTGTACTCTATGGTCTCCTTCTCCTTCTCCTTCTTCTTCCTTCCTCTTCCTCTTCTTTTATTCTCCTCCTCCTCCCCTTCCATTATTTTTTTTTACCATCACTCTTTTGGGTAACCTTAACATACAAATCTCCCCTAAAAATCCAAGAACAATAAAATAAAATAGAAATATACTATGAAAACAATACAAACTTTGATAAAGGTTGACTTATTGTAACAATGTAACTAGAAAGTTCTTCACTCCTCTCCTGGTCTCTGTCTGGATCTCCTCAAGGGAGATACACCTTACAGTGTGCAAAACTCTGTCTTAAACACAGAATAGCAAGTTATTCAGTTTAGAAGGCCCTTACTCTTACAGTGTTTTCATATATATATATATATATATTGGCCTTAAGTACTGGCTATAGGGAGGATGGCTGACTTTTTCTTCTAAGGAGAGATGAGAAACTGTCCTGAAATTCAGACTATCTAGAGATCTTCTGTAACTATTTGATGTTTTTGCAATTCTCACTACTAGAACTCTTAACATTAACATGTCATCTACCAATCTAGCTAACTAGCCACCATCAGTTATAAAATGGATGTTCATTTTCTGACCAGTTCATGTAAATCCACATTTTGTTTTGCAGCCTTCAGATAAAGAAGCATTTAGTCATTCTGTCACAAGTCTGGCTACAGATCCAATTGCAAGCAGTGAACAAAATGGTGGAATTAGTAATGGAGATGGTAAGATTATCATTATGTGATTTCTCAGCAATTGATGACTCACCATAAATATGTACATTGCCACTGTATTGTTTTTAAAATGATGCAAGCTCACAATCCTGATTCCATTTACAGTAACTATTGTTACAGAACAGCAATAGCTCAGATAAGAGAATAAATGTCAGTGTAAGACAGCTGGCTGGTAGAGCTCAAGAACAGAGCTGGCTCAGAACCTTGGACAGAACTATATGATTCTTGACTTGAATTCAGTACTGTGGCTAGCAGACCTGCAGTTCTTAGTACTGTAGGAGAACCCTAACTAGTGCAAAAACTCAGTTGTTAATACTTAATGCACTACTATAAATATTTTTGACACAAATGACTAGTATAGTCATTCCTTTGGAAACAGTTCATAAAACTAAGGATGTTCTTATTGCACACTAGAAGTTGAACAGAGATATAACTATAAATAGGATTTTACTATGGAACGGTCTTTGACAAGTCTTATAACAATATATGAAAAAAATCAAAAGAGAGTAGAGGAAAGCTACAGAAATCGGATCATAAGTAACTTAAACCCCACTGATTTCACTGAGATATTTCAAGATGATTAGTGAGGATCCCATTCTGCACTGAGAAAGAAAAGAAGAGAGAATATTTATATTGTGATTCTGCATGGAAAAATATGTATGTCTGCACAGTTTGTAAATACACTTCTAGACTTGAATATTTACTATATGTTGTGGTGAGATTATTCTCTGATATGTAAATAATGGAAAAATTCAGTTCCTGAGTCAATTACAGATAGTAAATGACTTATAACCATTTTTACCCTTACAGTTACAACTGTTGCAGCATCCCCATGGCATGTATTAATGACAGTTGCAGTGTCCTGGGGTCATGTGACCTTTTGACAAACAAAGTCAATGGGGAAGCCAGGTTCACTTAACAACTATGTTATTAACATAACAGCTATAGTGATCCACTTAACAACTGTGGCAAGAAAAGCAAGTAAAGTTGTAAAAGCCATTAAGCAAACCTTACTTAACTTGCTTAGCAATAAGTCTTGCTTAGCAATGGAAACTTTAGGCTCAGTTGGGGTCATATGTCAAAGAACCATCTGTAATAAACTATAATATACAATGCTGTACTCATTACTAATGAGCAAATGTGCATAGAAGAAAATGTAGGTGAGGAAATGGGAAACGGTTAGGTTTACTCACTTTAACTTGTAACTGGAAAGTGAACTGGAAAGTCTTCCTGGCTGACTATGCATTTGAAATTATCTTAATTTTAAAAAGTGTTGAAAACCTTTCTTTCTAGAAGCTTAAAATAAACATAGTGATATGATGGGATGAATTCCTTAAAGTAAATATCATAGACTTGGATATTTTTTGACATAACAGAAGACATTGCTAATCCTTTAGTTGTAATTTGTCTGCTCCCAAAATTATTTTATTTTTATATATTTACTATAAAAGTGGTGTTCTGGCCCTCCAGTGACTATGATATCAAATCCAAGGGAAAGAAAAAAAAGGGATAAACACAGATGATGTCTCAAACATCAGTCTCCCAAATAATGCTGTGGGGATACTAGGCATAGATAGGTCTGATGGGCAGGATCAAAGCTCAGCTTAAAATGGTATGAAACTTATGAAATGGAGTTTCTATTCAAAGCATCTTTTAATAAAGGAATTCTTTGAAGCTATTGACAGAGACACTCAAAATGTAAGAATCTATAATGCAGACTACAATACTTTAAAATCAGAAATTGGAATATAAATTTCATTTTACTTCAGAAAGGTTTACCCAACTTGTTTCTCTAGATAGCTTCCTAAACCCTTCATCCATAGTTTTAGCAAAATGTCTTAGTTCTTATCAATGCTCTAGAGATTTCAGAGCCATGGTTTTGCAGCTTGTGTCACCTCCAGCTCAGAGACACTGTCCTTATCGCTGGCCTTCTGCTTCTCTACACTCACTGTTTCTTACTCACATCCTTCATTCAAATATTCATCCTTAATGCCCTCATCCTTTGTGTTGTTGGTTCTAATTTACATACTCCTTCCCCTTCAACTCCAGGGTAAGTTAGTTTTTGCTCTTGCCACAGTTTTCTCCTACTTGAAGAAGTGCTTAGCTCTCTTTTTCTCCTGAAAACCAACTCACCAAAACTATGTAGCTATTTCCACATTTCCTAATTTTCCTGCAATCTCTCTCTCATACAGTCTCCCAGAAAAAAAAATCCTTCTTTTGCTTTTGAAAGGGCCAAGGGGATTTCTTTAGCCTTTATCTAAACCAGCAGTTCTCAACCTGTGGGTCGTGACCCTTTTGGGGGTCCAACGACGCTTTTACAGGGGTCGCCTAAGACCATCGGAAAACATATATTTCCAATGGTCTTAGGAACCGAGACACTAGTGAGAATTTCTGTTCAAGGCTAGCTCCACCAGCCAGCTCGGGCAGACAGCAAAGCAGCCGCCTCAGCAGCATGGCGGGGCTGCGCTACCCATCGCAGGGCAGCTACTGCCGCGTCGCCATGGCTATGAACCTCCTGCTCAGCGTCTTTCAGGTCCTCTTGCCTGGCTTCCATCTGGGAGAAGCGCAGGGCCAACGTAAAAAAAAAGCCTGGCGAAATACTCCCAATGGGTAGTGTCGATCTGTAGCAGGAGGTGAAGGGGGCGGGTGGGGGGGTCAACCAGAAGGAAACCAGGTCTGATAAGGGTGAAAGTTGAGTGAGGTTTTCCCCCACGCCCCTCTCTCCGCCTCCCTTTGTGCAGCAGCGTCTCTGGCTGCTGCCTTCCCAGTCACTGAGAAAGGAGAAATAAAGAGCCGTGAGTGAGTTCCCCTTTCTGCCTCGTTTTTAAAGCTTTTTTTTTTTTAAACGACCACTCGTTCAGAACTCCTCGGGGCTTGTTTGCATGAGCTTGTGGCAGATCAGTAAATAAAGGGGTGGGGAAGCCAAACTGTCCAAGGCGTTTGCACCCTGAACGTGTGGACGCTACTTTCATGACTTGCCACCACCACCCCCTCTCTTCCCGCCCTGCTCTAGCAATGTGCTGCTGCTGCTGCTCCTGGCTGAGCTTAGCTACGGTGCCGAGCCAGTCCCCACGCCTCCTGGTTGCCCGGCCACACTCTGCCCCCGGCCGTCCTCCACGCTGCACCGGAGCCTCCCGGCGCTGCCGGCCCACCTCCCTTGCTGTCAGAGGGCATCTATGTGTGTCTCCAGACCTTACTGGACTACCATCCCCAGCAGCCCTAAAAGCACTGTGGAAGATGGGGAATACTGGGAGTTGCAGTTCATCACCATCTGGAAAAACATGACTCTCCAAAGATCCATCCATCCTTCCTTCCTTCCTTCCTTCCTTCCTTCCTTCCTTCCTTCTTCCTTCCTTCCTTCCTTCCTTCCCCCCTCAATCTCCTTCCTTCTCCATCTCCTTCCTTTCCCCTTCAATCTTCCTTCCTTCCTTCCCCTTCCCTCCCTCCCAACATTTTTGAGCAAGGAAGAGTAAGCTTCTCCAGCGAGCATTGCTATATTGTTTTTGTGATTAATCACTATGCTTTAATTATTCAATTCGTAACAATGAAAATACACCTTGCAAATCAGATATTTACATTACTATTCATAACAGTAGCAAAATTACAGTCATGAAGTAGCAACAAAAATAATTTTATGGTTGAGGGTCACCACAACATGAGGAACTGTATTAAAGGGTCGCGGGCATTAGGAAGGTTGAGAACCACTGATCTAAACAAATCTGGTTATATCTCCCTTGCTCAGTAATCTCAAATCGATGTCTGGAAATCAGCTATCAATCTTATGATAACAGGAGATAGTGGAGTGGGTGGACTTGAACGTATCTGGATTTTCTTGCCCATTTCCTTGCCCAAATATGTTAAATAAACTTTAGCTTCTAGAAAAACAAGCCTCTTCCTGAAAAATAAACCCTTTACCAAGGGATGAAGAACTATTAAAAAGAGGAAAAGCCTAGTTTCAAAATAACATAAAGCAATCATATCAGATGGCACTAACTCAACCTTAGGTATCTTCAGCCTAATTGTTTTCCCTAGGGCATTCTGCAGCTAAACCCGTTAGAAAAGAAAGATTGGACTGTTATTCACTAGACCTAGATCCAGTGAATTTCTTTTCGAAAGGGAATTCACCAGAACTTGCTTAAAATTAGCCAGGAAAATCTCATTACCAATAAAGTATCAATAGTTTCATGGATCCTGTGGTCTGTTTTTTTCTCTTCTGGTCACCCAAAGGACCCCAGGATATGTTCAAGCACACAGATAGTGTCTTATTCAGATTGAAATATCAATCACAGTATACAAGTCAAAATGAATGCTAGATAACCATACAAGATACTGTCCCAGTCACCATTTCAAATGATCCTGCCAATAAGGAATAAGATTCTGGTGAAGTTGAGTGACTTTGCATCAAAATACAAGAGAAGTTGCTCTCGGTAACTAGGAAGCAAATTTTATTTTCTCTTTCTAATAGAGATTGAACGATTGACCAATAACCCACTAACACAATAAAAGTGCCAACATTTCATCTTTCCAACTGCAGTTAACAATTTTCACACTTACCAATCCATTCTAAAATATTTTAGTCTATTTCACTGTCTTTCATCTACAATATTATCAATTCTATCCATCCATTCTCTTCTCAATGAAAAAGTCTAGCCTCAACCTTCAAGAACTGTTGGAAATATGCTGAAGAAATCTCAAAGAAAAACAAATCCAGTACCAAACAAGCTTCATATGACCACAAAACAAAAAAAATCCAAATTGGATAAAAAAAATAATGAAGTTAACAAATGAAGAAAAAAATAAATATAAACCAAAATAAATTTGTATTAGTATTTCCAAAGATGTTCCTTATGTGCCAATATCTTTTTTTAATGATACAGATATATAGATTAGTGGCCTTATGAGCCTAAAATTATACTTAAGATTTATGCATTTATGTAATTTTCTTCTAGTTTTATCAGAAGATAGTACAGCTGCTTCTCTCCAACCTTATGAAGAAGTGCAAACCTCTGTTACAGATCTTTTGGATCAACAGGACACATTGGGTAGATCTTTAAAATGTCATCAAAGTAGAGAGCTACCTAGAATTCCTCCAAATAATGCCATGGAAACAATTCTCACCACAAGAAATGTAGAAAATGACCAGAGTTTTGGAATGGAGGGGCCTTATGAAGTGCTGAAAGATAGTTCCTCCCAAGAGAACATAGTAGAAGACTGCTTGTATGAAACAGTGAAGGAAATTAAGGACCTGGGAGCAGCAGGCAACTCAGAGAAATGCAAACCAAAGACTACTGTAATGGTTAATGGAATTTTAGATCATGTTCTTGAAAAGAAGACAGAATCAGCGGAATATGCATCCGTTGACAGAAATAAAAAAAGTTGCCACAGTGTTAATTCAGAGAGTCCTCTTAGCAGTACTACTCCAGATGTGGAAGAAGAAGCTCCACCTCCTGTACCAATAAAACTTCTTGATGAAAATGAGAATGTACAGGATAAAGGAGCCAAAGAAGAGGAGGAAGTAATGGAAAGGCTTAATGAACCCGACAAGGTACATGTTATTTTGTGTTATCAGTATAAGAAAGTGAAGTTGTAACTTGAAAGACTTGAAGTATGTATATGGCAAATGCTGTTGTTCATTAGTAAATATAAATTCTTTTTCTTGGTATCTTCTGCTGATGCAAAATCTTAAGATCAAAACTAGCAGTATTTGTGTGATCTAAATATAATGTGTCAATGTTCAGATGTGCATTCATAAATGAAAGATAATATTCAAGTGGCTAGATTGAAGAAGGCATGGAATCCTATGCAGTTGGTGATAGTTTCAAGGTATTGAAACTTAGTGCTTCTTAAAATTTTAGAGACATTTGCATGAATATTTTGTCAGCATCTACCCAGGAGACACATGCTTGCCAACTGATCATTAATTAGTCTAATTAGTCTGTCCCTTGTTTTGAAATATTCCAGATAATCTGTGTTAGGAACAGAAGGTATTCAAAGTGTTACTGTTGGCCAACATCTAGCCAGCCAATAAAACACAAAATGTAGGAGAGAGCAGAATCCTGGAGTAGCATCTAAAATTGAATTTTGCTAATGTGATACGAGTTTTTTTTTTTTTTTGCTTTCCTCTCCTCTGTAGAGTCTCAAAAACCTTCAACATTTGTTCCAGAAAGACAGAATGACTCACGCCCTACTGTTTTCATTACTGTTCATGAAAACTTGCAATTGTATTTTTCCCCTGGCCTCCAGATTTCTGATCCAATTTTAGATTTAAGTGTATCCCTAATTTTAATTTGTAATGAAAGCAAAGAACTTTTTCTAGTTCTTACCCCAAAGGTCCAGTTGCTTATAACAGCGTGAATTTCAAGTAGATTACAGATCAAAATATGTCAAATATTTTAATTTTTCAGAAATGCAATCTGTCACATTTTAAATAATATTAAAAACTAATTTGAATAACTCCTTAAAGAGAAAAGCAACAACTTAGGGAGTTAATTATTCCTACAAGTCTATCCAGGATAGTGGCTTTCAAACGATAAACAAATTAGTGGTGTTTTCCTGACCCAAATATTAGAACTGTATAATTATAATGCTGAGGGGGAGGAGAAGGATGAAGATGATGATGGTGGTGGTGGAGTGTTTGCTGGAACAAAACTTATTTGATGATAAACAATTCAAAGAATTCACTAGTACTACCTAAGTGATTAGAAAATGCTCATGTCTTATTCCTCTGTTTTCTTCCATACCTCGTACAATTAATCTTAACAAAATTATCATAGAAGTAAAACTAAGTAAAACTGTTAGCCTTTTTTTTCCAGATCAGTTGGCCAAAGTTCATGGCTGGATGGGGGAGGGGGGAGGAGAACTGAATCTTAGTCTGATTATTCTACATGAGTTAAATGCAGCAGGAGTTAAACACACAAAGACAGAGACAGTAGGTTTTATTCGTATTATATTTAAAGTATTCCAAATTTCTTAACAGCAAAAAATTAAAAGTTAAAAAAATAGAACTAATGTAAATTTCTTTGCTCCAATTCCATGAATGGTCATCAATTGTTGCTCATCCAAACTGGAAAAATACTTCTGGAGTTATTATTATTCCAAATATTCAAAATTTTTAGTAGTATAAAATACAAAAGAAAATAACAGGAAAGTAAGGGAGGAAAAAGGGAAGGGAAAAGAACAGGACAGTGGTGGCGAACCTATGGCACATGTGCCAGAGGCAGCACTCGAAGCCCTCTCTGTGGGCACATGTGCCGTTGCCCCAGCCTGCCTCCCCCTGCAGCCCCCTCCTTACCAGCAGCCGCCCTGGAGGACAGTCGCCCCCAGGCATAGCCTGCATGGAGCAGCACAGCCAAGGACATAGCCAGGCAGCAGGGACAAGACTCCACCCTCATGCCCCATAGCGTGCAGATGATGCTGCGGGCTGTGGGCGGAGGGCGTGGCTACCATGGAGGCAGTGTGTGGCCCTGTGGGTGGGGGTGGAGCAGGCAAGGTGGGAGGTGGAGCAGGCAGGGCAGGAGGCGGAGAGGGGACGGGGGGGGGTTTGGGCACTCAGTCTCTAAAAGGTTCACCATCACTGGTATAGAACAAAGGGGAAAAAAATAAAGAAAAAGCACTGACTTCTGACTCCTTTTGGTTCAATTGATTAAGATAATAGCATCAAACCTCAACTTTTTACTTTTATATAATAATACAAAGTAGTCAATTGTATAACAACAAATCTATTTAATTGGCAAAACCCAGAATCGAAGTTTCATTTTTTTCCACCTCAAAGTCCAAAAGCAGTTTCCAAGTACAAAATTAATTGTGTTTTTTCTTTAATCTGAGCAGTCAATTTGGCCATTTCTCCATCAACTTTTGCAGCCATTTATCCACTGTAGGAATCAAAGTGTCCTTGCATTTTTGTGCATAAAGTAATCTTGCTGCTGTCAACATATATAACATTAAAGTTCCACATTTTTTTCCAAATCTTTTCCCATGGAGTTTTTAACTGTTGCTATTTCTTAACTATTCCAGATACCTTGCTTGACTTGATTAATTATTTATACTACTGCCTATTTGTTGTTGGGGAACAGGAAAAAAAAGCTATTCTCAGTTTCATTGAAGGTCTCCACATTTATAGCCTTCTGCTTATTCCTTCTCTCCATTCTTTAATCAGTTGAATCTCTTCTTTTATCCTGTACCTGCTTGATTTGCTGAACAATTTCTGATAAAGGCTTTGTTTGAAAGCCTTTTGAAAATCTAGATGATTATCTATCCATCTGAAAAAAATAGTAAGAGACTTCTCTTTCAGATTTTTTTTCTTTTTAGCAAATCTTGATAATTTTATCTTTAATAATACTTTATGTTAATAAATTTCAAGGGATAAACTTGCCCTGATGCATTTTAATAATCACTGTGACACTGCATACTTTCTAGTCCCCTGGGAAAGAAGCCAATCTTAGAGAGATTTTTTTACCTACCGTATTTTTCTGTGTATAATACACACCTTGTATAAGACACTCTGGCATGCGACTTCCAAGCTTACAGCAAAGTCAGCACTGGGAACACTTGCCTCCCAGCACTCTAAATAGATGCCTCCCAGCCAGCCCCATCCCCCCACCCATCTAACCAGCATTCGGCATGATGAGCATGCATAGTCAGTTCATAGCAGCAGCCTTCCGACCCTGGTAAACAAACCAGCAAGGCAAGGGAAGCGAAGCGAAGGCAGGTTTTAAACTCCCCACCATTTCTCTGTGCTGATCAGCTGTTCGGCACAGCGCCAAACAGCTGAGCCGGGAAATCCAGAAGTTTGGCCGGCTGCTATTATCAAGCAGGATGGCCTCGCAACTGCGTTCCATAGGGTCCCCGGCCAGCATACAGGTACAAGGGAGGGAAAGGGCTGTCGCTGCCATCCATGCTGCTGGTCCTATCTGTTGCCTCTGGACGCCACCATCTGACGATCTTGCCCCCTCCCCTCTCCCGTTAGTGGCAAGCCCACAGGGGCTTGACACCTGCACAAGGTGGCATGGCAGCAGCATGTAAAGAACCCACAGAGGCATGCCCTGGATTGCGGATGTTACCCTTATTTTTTTGTGTATAAGATGCTGCACTTGTATAAGATGCATCTGATTTTTAAACAGGGTGTTTACAGGAAAAAATAGCATCTTATACACGGAAAAATACGGTATTTTTTTAGATCAGAGAAGTTTTTCAGTAAGATGTAGACCTTAATTTCTCAGACTCTCACTTGAAAAGCTTTAACCCACATCCCCTTGCAGTATATTCATTGCAGGGGAAATTTTTTTTAAAAAAAAATCAGCTTCTTTGCTAACATTCTGGTATCCTTCACATCCAAATAATAATAAGTCACAAAATAGCCATTTTTCTGCTTCTGATAAAATTACAAAAGCATTCACTGATCTTAATATTGATATTAATGTCTTCCTTCTTCCACTCCTTCCTAGTGTCTTTCTTTCTTCCCTGAATGGAAGGATTCCTTTGGTTTGGAAAGAGCAATCCATTTTCCAGTCTTGCATCTTCTTCCTTAGGAAGGACCTGTAGCTCACTGGTCAATATAGCATATGCTTTGCATCTTCCTAGAATGGGGATGGTTGGAATAAATTCAGGACAACCTGTAGAATTGCTGCAAGTCACTGAAAAGAAAATAATGACCAAGATATACCAGTAGTCTGATAGCATAAGAAAGTTTGAGTGAGAGGATGGTTCTCCCTATCTTGAAGGAAGCAATGGTATGCCTTTTCTTCAGGAAGCCACTGCTGGACCCAACAGTACTAGAAGTTTTTGTCTCATCTCCAACCTTCTCTCTCTAGGAAAGATGGTTAAGAAGATGGACAGATTGCAGCTTCAGACAGCCCTGAAAGAAGTGGATTATCTGGACCTTTTCAGTTAGGATTCAGGTTGGGGATAGAATAGAGATGGCATTGATTGCACATCTCAATGCTTCGGACAGAGCTAGGATAACTGTAGTGCAACTGTCCTGGTTCTTTTTTGCTTTCCTGTCACCTTTCTTCATTATATACTTCTGCATTGACTGCAGGGAGTAGGAACGGGAGACATGGTGATTGGTGACAGGGTGATGGAGAGGTTAAACCTGAACTCTGTGATTTGTATGATGCCACATCTTCCCTTCCTGCTTAAGATCTACATGGAGATGCTAAGGGAAGTCATCTATCAAAATAGGATCAAGTATCATCAAATGCCGATGATACTCAGCTATATATCTTGATCCTGGCATGGTCAAGGGGTACTGTGGATATTTTGTCCCAGTGCCTGAAGACTGTTGGATCCTGGATGGAAAGGAACAGGCTTAAACTCAACCCTAATAAGTAGTTGTGTGTTCTTTGGATTTTCCATCCTTGGTTCTGAATGGGGTACAATTATGCATATTGGTGCACAATTTGAATTGAAGCTCTTACTTGTACGTTAGGTGGCAGCTGTGACCAGGGATGTTTTTGCCCAGATTTATTTGGAATGCTCGTTCTTTCTTTGTCTTTCTTTCTTTTCACAATCAGTCATCTCATGTGTAGACTATTGTAATGCATCCTACATGGGGAGGTCACTGAAGTTCAATCAAAAACAGCTGATCCAGATTCTGGCAATGCAGACAGTTATGGGAACCCCTTGCTATGCCCATATAAAACTTTTGCTACATGAGTAGCATTGCTTCCTGGTGCAGTTCAAGCTGCTAGCTGTGACATACAATATAAAGATCTTGGCAAAGAATCTTGCTATTTGAGGAACTGTCTTTCTTCTATTAAAATAATGTCATCTAATGAAATCCAGTTAACTTAATTTCTTGGTCACAGCACTTCCCCCTGAAATAGTATCCCCCAAGAGGTTCACATTGGTCCAATCCTGCTCTTTTTTAAATAAGCCTGGAAGACCTCGCTTATTTCCCTGATTGATTAAGTGTAATTTTATTAATGTACTAGATGTATGAATCTCCAGGTTATTATTTTCCTTTTGCTTTTATTGTGCTGGATGTATTTTTAACTTGAATAACACTCCAGAATCTTTATGACTTGAATAGCCTTACAAATCTGATTTACAAATAAACAGATGATTCTGTTAAGACAGAAAGCATTTGAAACTGAAGCATAAAAAACATTTGGGAAAGGTCAAAGGTTTATCAATTTTGTCATTCTGCAAGCATTCACTATTACAATTTTGCCTCTCCCCCCCTCCCCAAATCCTATGAACTGGAAATGTGCCTGCTCGTTGTTTCTTTGCAGCCCCAGCCAGATTTGGCCCATTTACAAACTTGATATTTCTTTTGACAGCTTCTCCTCCCATTCCAAATTAACCATTCAATTCTGTTTCATTTTCAGAGATTATCCTGCTGAAAGACAGCCTGTCAAATGAGTGGACAGAGTCCTGAACCCATTCCAAATAGCTGCATTCCAAATATTGGCAATGTGTTATTTGAATCTGATTTTTTTGCATTGTTGTTGTTGTTGTTGTTAATTGCGAAGTCGTGTCCGACCCGTCGCGACCCCATGGACAATGTTCCTCCAGGTCTTCCTGTCCTCTACCATCTTCTGGAGTCCATTTAAATTCACACCTACTGCTTCAGTGACTCCATCCAGCCATCTCATTCTCTGTCGTCCCCTTCTTCTATTGCCCTCAATCTTTCCCAACATTAGGCTCTTCTCCAGTGAATCCTTCCTTCTCATTAGGTGGCCAAAGTACTTGAGTTTCAACTTCAGGATCTGGCCTTCTAAAGAGCAGTCGGGGTTGATCTCTTTTTTGCATTAATAATAAGAAAAAACATCCATCATGGGTTAAATGAAAAGGCCTGAGTTTAGTTATATTTTTATTGTATTGTTTGGGATTCCTTATTTATTTGTTTGTTTGTTTATTTATTTATCTTCCTTCCTTCCTTCCTCTTTCTATGTAGAAAACAGCTGTTTCATTTTGAGTACTTAATTGTAATTTACCTCAGAATATAAAGTTCAAACTGTCTCAGGTTGAGACCATCTTATTTCCTGGACTTTTAATGCACCATTATGTCATCCAATTATTATATTGCTTGCTAGGTTTCATTTTATGTTGTGTTTTATCTCTAATTGTGTTTTTTTATTGTTTCACAGTTTTATATTATCATTTGGGTTGTGTGAAAAAAAGGATGGAAATAAAATTACCAAAAATCACAGCAAAATAAACTGCTGTGAACAATTAAGTATTTTTATGATTTTGAGTTGGGCTGTCAAGTGATTTAATTGAACAAAACTTGAACATTTTGTTAGATCTAAGAAAACACCACTGAAATAATATTGATTATAGAATTCAATAAAAATGCGAAGGAAATTCCTACATCAGAAACTTTGTTACAAATGCTTAAATATAGACTTCTGCTGTCTTAATCATGTTTCAAACATTTAATAGAATTCAGTAGAACAGATATCAGTGCCTTTATTTTTGCCACATATAAAAATTGTTTCAGTCTGCTTACCTTCAAAACTGGGCTATTAATTTCAGCTACTGAAAAATGGACAATTATTCTTTTATTTTTGTATTGAGGAAGGTGTTAGCTTTTAAATAAGATGTTATTTTCTATCTTTTTCAGAGATTTAGTTCATTGATTTATAAATCTCGAGAAGATGACCCATCTCTTACAGAAGATGAGGTGGGTCTGTCTTGTATGAAATATATTCAGAAAATGTTACCTGAATAAAGCTGTATTAAGTGTTCTTTGATTAAGAAGACTTGGAAATAATGGTTCAAATGCAAATGGGTTACATGATTATTTTTGCCAAATGCCTTTATATCAGTTTCAGCCTTTCACAGTGGAACTATTTTGGGTCATTGACTATTATTTGGGACTCCCTTCTTGGCTATTTAAGAAGTGTCAACACTGATACAAATATAAGCCCATATAAATATCTGAAGACTGCACACATTAAATTGTAGTTGATCCTGCCTTCTTATTCTGTCCCTTTATATCACATGACAAAAACTGTCAGGGCTGAGAAAAACTTTTAAAACGGAGTATAATGTGATAAAAGGATTTGTATCTGAACCAGAAAACACCCTTATTTCAGGAAATGAAAATTCTTTAATTTCACAACATATACCCAGATTTAACCATAGTTTCAATTGGGAAAATGTGATCAGGGAATTTCTAGAAGCTTGACAAATCAGCCATCAATAGACACATAGACATTAACAACATCTATAGACTATGCAAAAGAGACTATCACCAAGCCCAAAAGGGAACAAAAAGACCTAAGCACCTCTCCACCAGCAATCAGCGTCGAGATCAGCATAGATCAAGATTAACATCAGACCAACAATCATGTAAACAATACCCCAATCAAGAAACTGCCAATGAAGCCAATAGCAAACAGCCCAACCAAAGAATCTCTAAGAACCTTCCCACCAACACTGACAGGCAATATATAAATATAAATTGATGACAAAATGCACTTCTTACTAGCACTGATGATGTTACCTAATTTGGGTAATGAAACAGCTGCAAGAAAACAAGCAAGCTCAGAGAGCACTAAGGACCCCTCATTTCAACCCTGAACTACACATATTATCCTTTATTGGTTTCTTAGGACTATTTAAGTCTAATGTAGAGTGGAACATATATGCTTCAGTCAATTCAGTCAAAATAATAAATACATTTTCCAAACTGTCAACCAGAGCATTGTATATTGGATTGAACTCCATTCTGTAAACATTTTATGAACCCCCCCCCCTCCTTTTAGTGCAAGTAACATTGAATGCTTACCATACTATTGCTTTTCAACAATGTGGTAAATTTATCATGCCTTGCAGTTTTAATGGCAAACATTAGAAACATTTTACAAGGTGGCTTTTTCACAATGGAGAATAGTTGTATTTCTCTTAAGTCCTACTCATATATCCTACTCAACCCAACAGAGATGTATAAAGAACTTGCCTTCTGAGCAAAACTCCCTTCCCTTTTTCATAATGGAAAGCTTTTGTGATTGCATATGAGCTATAAAAACATGATCTTTTCAGGGATACTACATAAACCGATATCAAGCTTATTTTCAGTTTAATAGACCATGTTTTGTTAGATCAAATAACTTGAAATAAATTACGTGTGCTACTATATTATTCACTGAATATTAAAATAATAGCTTATAAAAATATTAGTTATGTTTCAATGCAATTACTATATTTCTTCCCTTCATAGATTTCAGCAATGTATTCTTCTATAAATAAAACAGGACAATCCTCTAGAGACTTGGAATCTACATATACCTGTATTCCTGAACTTGTACCTCAGAAGTCTCCATCTATTTGCAGTGGCCTCTATGCCAGTGTGAAGGACTTGGAAACCAATCCAAACCTTACTGATTTGCCTCAGTCAACAATACTTCTGAATGGGGACTTGGAACCAGACTATGAAGCCATTCAGACTCTAAGTCGAGAGGAGGAAAGAAATATTTTGATGTCTAGCACCATTCAATCCATCCTCCCTCAAGAAAATGACTGTGAGAGTATTGGTGATTTGCAGCAAAATAAAGATGTCACCAGGCTTTAACTGATTCAAATGCAAGACTTTGGAATATGCTGTTCAGTGGATCTTTCAAGATGGGTTTACTCCATGACTTATCACTTGAAAACTTAACACACAGTTGGAAATGTAAAATGGCCAAAAAGTATTTTGCTTGAAATGATATCAGGTAACATGAAAGCTTAGCCTGGGATGTTTGATCAATGATTCCTGCTTCATATCCATCAAACTATCATACAGATATGAACTTACCCTAACAAGCAGGAAACAGGCAAGTGCTCCTTTTGAAGAACCAAGATCACATGGATGAAAACACACATACACAAAGAACAGAATTGCTGCTGTTTTATCAATGTGTACAATGATTTTTCAACTCCCATAGGTGATGTTATCACAACAAATACAGTAGATAAAATCGGAATCAAAGATGAGGGCCCTGGAAAGGCTTCTATAGAAGAGACATGTTGAACCAAGAGTGATATGTCTGGAGCACATGATCAGACACATACTCATATGCTAATATATAAAAAGTGGTACTGTTAAATAAGGGCCTTTTTAAAAGATCTTTACTTTCAGTTACTTCGACCATTTTATTAAAATATATTCCCAAATTACAAATTCATTTAGGTTGTTTTTAAACATAGGCACAGCTTGCCATAAAGAATAGATACATTTAGAAGGCTAGTTTGCCTTAATATGTTGTTTGTCAACCATGGCAACTTTAAGTTGTGCGGATTCCAACTCCCAGAATTTCCCAGTCAGCAATAGGAAATTCTGGGAGTTGACGTCCACACAGTTTAGAGTTGTTAAGGTTGAGAAACGCTTCCCTAATATATTTAATGCAGCCATGAGATGTTGTGACTGAATATGCTGGCCTATTCTCAGGTTCACGCTTCAGTTTCAATCTTGCTCTAAAAAGCAACACAAGAGCAGTGAGTGAAAAACTGGCATTTGTGGGAATTAGGAAAGACAGTCCCTTTCTGAGGAACTACAGCAGATGTGGTTGAAGAAAGCATGCACATCTTATTTGCTTCATGGCTGGTTTACAGACTGGCTATATAATTCCTGACTATTTTTAGTTTTTCAATACCTATTTTCTTCCAAAATATTATTATGCTAGGAATGATTTACATTTAAAGCTTCAATTTTTATTACTGATGATAGAGTCGGGATATTTAAAAATATATTTAATACATACACACTTTCTGCTTTTCAAACACTACCAATCACTTTTATTTTTATCCTTAAATGTATTTTGAAACCTGCCCAAACAAACTGCAACATTTTGCAGAGGTTATAATTCCCTCTGAAACAAAAATGCATCTTTAAGAAGTATCTTTTTATATAAAATTGTAAATAAAAGGTAAGACATGTTATAGACTCGAGTTATTTAATGAAGTATTCAGGATACTTGAGTCTAAAACAGATGTAAAGATAAAATTATTTAATTAAAGTGAAAATTAATACAAATAAAGGAAAATAATGTTATTCTTCGTAATCTACAATTTTAGATATTCCCAAACTCACTCTTGACAATATTCATGTTCACTTGTTCAATCTGGATTTGCAGCCAACTCAAGTTAGCTACTGCCACTGAATTGTTTCTTTTATAGCTAGGCAAGATTTCAGAAAGTTTTGAACCAGCAACCATAGAAACAGAAAACAACAGACCTTTCTTGCAGAGATTGTAAATTCCACAGTATTACCAAAAAAGTGATACTGTGTTTGGTTTTTATAAAGATTAGTGCCAATACTTAGCATGTGACTTTCTTCCAATCCATTTTACCAAAATAGCATGTGTAAAATTGTACCTTGCTTTCCTGTCTTTATATCTCCACTCCCTTTCTGCTACTCAGGTTTATTTAGTTGATTTGCATAAAAATATATTGCAGCATTGAAAGATAAATATGTTTATTACAACTTAAGATTTTGAATTAGATTGTCACTTTATTCAATCTTTGTTAGGCACCACAAAATGTTTAATCTGTTGCTTAAAAGCAATAAATATGGCTGACTCTAGAAACTGATCCACACAATTTCGAAAGGATGTGACATTTAAAAATTTCCAATAGATACTGTAGAATTAAATATCACTTTATGTAATCAGAGATATATCCTGTAAGGAGCTTTATTGGGAATAATGCAGCTTTTTGAATGAAAAAAAATGCATATTAATTTACTGAATGTTGTATCAGACAGAATCAAATCAAATCAAATACCACTATTTAACATAAAATTGATATGTAAGCCTACAATATTAAAGTAGTTGTATGAATATTAATTCCCATCTTTTGCACTGGTGAAAATACTGATCATAAGTGGGCTGAGAGAGAAAGAGGTTTAAAAGGAAGAGACGACTGCTCATATATTTAGCATTTAGAAAAGTTATTTTCCAAAGCTATTCATGGGAGTTCTGCATATAATAAATATCCTAAGATATTGGCTTACATTTCAATATGCTATTTCACATGAACATTTCATCCCTGCTGAATTAAAAAAAATGATTCGGCGGGCTACATTTGAAATAACCACCTCCTACTAAGCTGTCAGGAAACTTGTATATTAATAAAAATGCATAATTCTGTGGAGAAACTTTGGATCCCATCAGCCTTCCTCCTGTGAGGAGTTTTCACCACAGCCATCTGTATGAGGAACATCTTATTTTAAAATATGTAGCAGAAAATATTTGTGAACTCATCTTCCAGAATAAATAGTCTCCTAAGGTATAATATGATGATAGGCACCTTGTTCCTTTCAGCATAAAAGCCTGTGCCTTTACAAATTTACCTTCCACAAAAAGTCTGGACCGCTTCTGACAATAGAAAACTTGGTGCATTTTCTTAAAACTGTACTATGGTGCTGTACAAAATTCTTTAAAAATATTTCATTGTATGTGTTTCTGATAGCTTGTTTGTACTGCATTTTGTTTTGTTTTTTAAAAGGGAGACTTTTGTCTACTAAATTATATTGCATAGTTTGGGATGCTTAATTTCAAGCAATGCTTTAGGGCACTACAAGGAGCACCACAGGCATACTTAGGAAGTATTAAAATGGGTGAGTTTTTCTAAAGCACAATGAACTACCCACAAAAAGAGAAGAAAGGGGTATTCCTGGTTGGACCTAAGAAGTAGTAGTAAGCATCTAGTGGCAGTAATAAGAAGCAAGGAAAGTTACCTGTATTGCAGATACATATTTGCTGGCCTTGTGTTATATATGTGGTGTGTGTTTTACCTGGATGTTTTGTTTTTTATATGTACGCGTTTTCTTAACAAAAGAAAAATATTTGATTTGATTTTTGTACTTCTGCCTTGTATCTGGTTTCTGTCAATCTATTTCTGCAAAAGGATATTAAAGCCGAAAGGTAATAGATGTTAGTATATTGTATGGAGGTTCTTGACCAAGTAACTTTTTCTTTAATCTCAGCAGTTTTCTTTCAGGACTGGTAAGATATCACTACACCACCGCAAACAGGCAGCTCTTTTGTGAGAATGCTCACAATATTGTCAAATCTCACCAACCTCAAAAAGTTAGGAACGACTTTGCCTTTATACTTTTGAAATCTAATTTGTTTTTGAAATCTAGCAGTGCTTTTATTTGAGAAAAGAGTGGAGTGTATTATCAAAGAATAAGAAAAACATTTCTGCATTTGTTTGCCCAGTTGTAGTTTGATTTCATATTTGATTGCCTTCTGTTTGTACCATTATCGAAGACAGTTCCTCTAGTGACAGTAATTATAAAGCACTTTCATGCTTAGAAAAAATATATATCTGAATATCAGGTGTAAGGACAAAGCTTTCTCTTTAAATGCCCTTTATCTAATTGGCCACTACTGGCAGCATATAGTCATGGGTCAATCCATAAATATTGTCAATAAGTTCGAAGAGAGGGACAGTTATTCCAACTTACTGTACTTGAATTTTTTGTCTTAGAGGTAAAATTTTAGTCCAGAAAATAAAACTTAAATTTTAATAGAAGAGATTAAAAGATGCACTCTGGGAAATTAGAAAAAATACTGTTTTTTTGAGGTTTTAAGCATTAGAGGCATGACAAATCAAGAGAAAAGATAATGGAGTGCTTCATGTAAATTATGCTTTGGAATCAGAATTCTTGACAAGATACTACCTTGCATTATGAAACTGTCTATACAAAGTCATTCTCTATATATTTGTCGCTTAAATTTTTGAAATGATCTTCTATTATTTATTTTTATAACAGATGGTTCCAGATTGGTCCTTAAAGTGTGGCTCTAAGTTTGGTTGCCACAATTTTGAACGTTATCAAAATTTCTTTTTGCCTTACACTTTTCTCCTATGGATGCCCAATTGCTCATATTAATTTATGAAGTATTTAATATACTGGAAGTAAAAACCAGTAGAAAAATGTGAAAGGTGGACAAATTTAAAAAATGTCAAAGTACTCCTGTTTCTAAAGTCTGACAATAAGTGATATGCTTCCTTGGAACTGATTGTATTAACAAATGTGTTTGGCTTTTAATTTGGTGATGCTATTTTCCCTCCAAATGTCATACTAGTATTCTCCTCTATTACATTCCACTTGCTTCTTCTAAACAGAATTGCCAGAATTGGAAAACACCTATCTGATGAATGATCTTCTGCCATTATAACATAATATTTGCAAAATTTGTAGAATATAATCTGCCAATGACCTTTCTTGTTTTAAAAAAACATCTGGAACAAGCCAGCAGCAAGAGACACAAAACATATTCATCCATTAGCAAGCAGGCAGATTTAAATATAGTCACATAATATTACTATATAGTATCCAACGTATACCCACCAGCTCCTCATACTTTCAATTAAGAGATATTTAAGAGGCATACTGATATCGCTCAAATATACACTGACTAAAGATGGCTTTACATCAATTATTTTATGATTGATTTCACAACAGAGTAACATTTGCCCAAAGTAAGAACTCGCATGATGCATTTAAAAAATAATCAAGCCAAGAATTTGCCAAATCCTTAACACTTCTGTGATTGAAAAGTATGTATGAACAGAAAAAGCCCAGTAAATTACAGCTACTCCCACTACTGTTTTGCAATGACAACATTGTTGTGTCTGCGAATCTCTTCCTTTATTGTTAGTTGTTAAAGATTCAGAAGCCACATTCCATTTTATATTGTTGAAGGAAAAGTCTTCATCATGGTTCAATCCAAGCCGTGAATAAACAACATGGAGACTGCTTTAGAAAGAAGGTTGCAGTTTACTGAAGACGAGAGCCAGACAGGAAGATGGCTCTGGAAGAAAGAGAGTGAGCACATGTAGGAAGTGGGTTTTTATACCCTCTGGAGCCTTTTGTTTGGAGTTGTTCCTGTGGCATGAACTTTGACCTGACTCTGAGTGTGCCTTTCTGGTATTCTGATGCTGGTGGGTTAAATCTATTATGTACCAAAGGTCATATCCTGCTTCTCTGTGGCTGTGGCTGATGACTCTTAGATTTTTGGTGTGAGGGATTGTTGATTCAAGGGATCTTTCTTCCTAATCCCAGTTTCCTGGCTCCAGTCTTTCTGACAAGATTATCACATCTGCATTTCTGCAGACTTGGTTTCTGTTTGGGACAGAGAGACTTGGGGGGGGGGGGTTGCCTTTAAAATTCTTTAGGGAAATATATTCTGCCTTTTAAATGTTTCCAAGAATATTTCTTTCTCTGGGAGTGGGCTGACTTCCCACAATATTAAGTAAGCATTTTAATAAAAGCATTTGGCCTCAAGAATATTTGTATGCAAGACAAACATCATATTTAATGAAGGGCATGGCAGCACCCTTTCTGCAAGAGAGATGAAAAGTAACTTTTACTCCAATTTGGAGGTTATCTTTTTTAAAAAAAAAAAAACCTTCACTCCTCGGAATCCCTTAAAAAGCAAAAGCTAAGACTCCAACAAGCTTAGATCATCTCCTGAAGATTAGATTTATTGGTGGTCTCTCCTCATCCTCCCTCACTCCCACCACCTGCTGCTAAATGCTAACCAGATCCATTCCTCTCCAGCTCTTTCTAGATCACTCAGACAAGGTCAGCAAGGTGTTGCCAGTTATATTTCAGTATGCTTACTAACCTTGAAAAAAAATGAGTTTCTATTCAAAGCAAAATGATTGTAGTCATTGGTGACAAAAGGAAATCTGAAAAAGAAGGTAAGATGAAAAATTAAAGGAATGGGGATTTTTCATTCTGGACTGGCAATGCTTGCCCTCTCAAACAACTTGGCTTTGGAGACATACAAAAAATGATTATTATTAAAAGGGGTTGGGGAAGAATCCTATTCCTTATTTGCTAGGAAGCCCAAATTGTGATTCATATAGAATGAATTAGTATTATGGACTTTGTTATTTTCCTTAGGACTAACACTACTCCTAAACTGCAGAATTTTGTATTTTATATTGTAAAATATAAGTTGCTGAGTTTATATTTGCTTCCATTTTCCCGTACCAAAAATACATGTATTTTGCTTAACAATGGGACAATGTTTTAAAAAAATATGGATTCAACTATTTGTTGTTTCATCCATCATCTCTCAAAAATTCTAAAGAGAATACCGGGTTAGCCTGAATTATGATAGTATTTGCTAATCCAAAATTAAAATCTATTGTTTACCCTCATGCTTCATAGATTCAGAAGTGTAATAGACCCCAAAGAGTCTACTCTATATTCTACAGTTTGCTTTAGGCTTAATGTGTCATATACAAAATACTTTCAAGATAGTACTAGCCAAAAATTGTCCTCATAATCAAACCTAAAAACAGGATTGCCTCAGTTAGTTACACCTAGAAGTGTCTGATAGATGATGTGATGAACTATAAAATGAACAGCAGACTGCTGTTCTCTTAGCCATGCTATCCTGGCAGAGAAGCCATCATTGTTTATAAATGATTTATTTTGTTTTTAAAGCTTAACACTAAATTTTAAAAACTGCATAGGTGACATTTTCAGCTTTTTAGGGGAGATTTAGAGCTAATTTACATTAATTGTCAACAAGTGTTTTACTCCTCCTCTTTTTTGGGGCCTTCAAGTCAGTGTTGACTCCTGGCAACTGCCCAGGCAAATTCCTGCCATTTTTTCAGCAGCCATTGCCTACTTTCTAGGGCTGAGAGAGTGTGGCTGGCCCAAGGTCACCAAGCTAGCTTTGTGCCTAAGTGATTAAAGTACCAGACTAGAAACAGATAAATGGAAAGCTTCTAGTCTGATACTGCACCAAACTGGATGTCTGTACTCTTTTAGGGTTTCTTATTAATATTTTAGGAAGAGATGCTGTAACCATAACTCTATTATTTATTTTTTAAAAAGGATTGTACTTAGTAGATAGAATTCAACCTAAAAGATTGTTTATGCATGTGAATTTTAAAGGCAAAAGCTTATCATAACCCAGGAATAAGTTTTATTAATATATCAATATGTTGAAGCTGTCAAAGAAATATATTTTTTCAGTTATGCTGATGTTCAGAAAATGCTCCTTGAAGACACAATCATTCATTAGGACAGATGGAGCATAAATGCATGCCCAAATGCATAGGCAGTAGAGCGATTCTAGCATGGAGTCTTTCCATATACACATCTGAGCTTCTGGGATTGTAAACAACACCCATTGTACCACTAGCTTCATTTAGGGAGGCCTAAATGCATTTATCTTGTGTTAAATTGCATTGCTGTCAATGGAAATCAGAAACCACTTTTATGGCTATGGGAACTTCATATAAAGTAAATAAAGTTTTACTTTTTTGAGGGAATAGAAAGGGAACTCTCAAATTTGCAGATGACACTAAGTGGCAGGAATAGCCAATACCCCAGAAGGCAAGCTCAAGATCCAAAAAGATCTTAATAGACTTGAACAATGAAATTTAATGTGATGAAAAACAAGGGTTTAACACCTAGGCAGGAAAAACCAAAGGTTCAAGTAAAAAACCTGGCTCAAAAACAGTAACTGTGCAAGAGACCTTGGAGTGTTACTGAACGATCACTTAAATATGAGCCAGCAGTGTGCGGCACAGTCAAAAAAGATAGTACAATCGTTGGTTGTATAAACAGAGGTACAGAATCAAAATCATGTGAAATATTAGTACCCCTTTATAAAGCCTTAGTAAGGCCACAGCTGGAATACTGCATCCAGGTTTGGTTACCACATTACAAAAAAGATGTTGAGACTCTGGAAAAAGTGCAAAGAAGAGCAAGATGACTAAAGGCCTGGAGACTAAAACTCAGGGCTTTTTTTGTCATAGAACGCCTAGAACGGAGTTCCGGCACCTTTTTTGGATGGAACCTTGTAGGGCAGTGTTTCTCAACCTTGACAATGTCTAGTATCTAGAATAGAATCTAGAATAACAGAGTTGCGAGGGACCTTGAAGATCTTCTAGTTCAACCC